GCTGTTGTTGTTGTTGTTGTTGCTGCTGCTGCTGCTGTGTTGTTGTTGTTGCTGTTGCTGTTGTTGTGGTTGTGTGGTTGTGGTTGTGGTTGTGGTTGTGGTTGTGGTTGTGGTTGTGGTTGTGGTTGTGGTTGTGGTTGTGGTTGTGGTTGTGGTTGTGTGTTGTTGTGGTTGTTGTGGTTGTTGTGGTTGTTGTGGTTGTGGTTGTGTGGTGCTGTTGTTGTTGTTGTGTTGCTGTTGCTGTTGCTGTTGCTGTTGCTGTTGCTGCTGCTGTTGCTGTTGTTGAACATTATTAATTCTAAAGAATAATTATTGTTGGGGCCCCTGGTGCGCGCCCCCCCCGCCGCGCCTAGGCCGCAGCCACATTTTCATCATTTTCGTGAGGAAGTCTCAGGCAAAACGGGGTATACCAGATCCGGTTGTGTTGTTACGATCGGTTTCCCCTTGCAAAAAATAAGGCAAAGTGGACATTTCTTGTTCTAACATGACCAAACTTCAAGAATCCCTTGCAAAAAATGACACGAAGTGCACATTCGCGCGCGCAAGACGAAATCCTTCCAAAACCTTAGTCTTCGTAGCGATTTTCACATAAAAACATGAAAAACCCAATGGTTTTTCAAAAAAAGGGTTTCAAAATTCACCCCGCGCGCTCTTGCGGATTTCTTAGGAAACCCAATACTTTTTCAACATTTCTGTCAAACGGGCTCTTGCGAGCAACTTTTTCACGTGCTTCGAACTTCTGCAACAAAGGTTGCGCGCCTGCCAGGGCCATCATCCCTGTCAAATAATACCATGTGGGACACATTCGTTTTTTCTTCGCGCGCGCACGCCGAAATCTTCAAAAATCATTGGGTTTCTTAGGAATTTTAGCACCGCGCAACATAAAATCATACGAATCGCACCGTAGGTTCTCGAAAAACATCTGTACGAATTTTCAAAATTTCTACCCGCGCGCGCTGTCCGAATCCTTAAAAACCAATGGTTTTTCAACATTTATGTTATAGAGCTCGCGCGAGCTGTTTTCGCAAGCTCTTTCAACGGCGTTCGCGCGCCTGCCAGGGGCCACAATCCCTTGCAAAAAATATCATGCGGGACACATGCGCGCGTCGTCGCGTCGTCGTTGTCGGCATGGTACCACAACAAGTCAGTGTGTCACCACGTCATCGAACAAAATCACTGATCACTGTCACATCCGTAGCCATCTCGGATCAAGGTATCGCCTGTGTTCTTGGATGGGTCATGGCTTTGTCGGCGAAAGCCCTTGACGAGCAGTATGGCCCAGAGCTGTCGCGGCCTCCCTTGGCCGACTGCGGCAGCCCGTTTTATTTGCATCAGGCGCTCAACCATCGGGACAACCATCGGGACAACCACAACCATCAGGACCTCCAACCAGAGAGAGCTAGTCACGTGTATTTCGTAGACGAATGAGCTAGTATTGCACATTGAGGCCGGAACGACAACCACAGAACAAAATGAGCATGTATCGTCTCACAACAATGGAAACAAGTCCTGTGGTATGCTGGCGCCACGCACGTGGTACCACTCAAAATAAGTGTCTTCGCTTGTGTGGTACAGAAACGGAAAAACGTCGGAAAACGGTACAGGTGTCCAGTGTTGGAACAGGGGGAAAAGTCGTATACTAAGCTAGCTTCCACAAAATGTTACCACAACAAGTCACTGTACCCATGCGCCAGTGTAGTAGCCAAGGTCGTCCGCAGGCCACGAAGTGAAGTGTCCGAACGTCATAGGGCGGGAAGCTGGGTGTGGGTGGTGGCGAAGAGTCGTTTGGAAACTTGGTAGAGCTTGAACCGGCCCCCCCACAAAGTGGGGGTATTGCCCGCCTCCTATGAAAACCCTGGCACTGGTGAGAACGGAGTGTCCCCAGTCTTAAATGATTGTTGTTGTTGTTGTTGTTGTTGTTGTTGTTGTTGTTGTTGTTGTTGTTGTTGTTGTTGTATTGTTGCGTTGTTTGTTGTTTGTTGGCGTCGTCCTACCCGCGACCCAGCCCGCGACCCACGCGCGACCCAACCGCGACCCACCCGCGAGCAGGCCGCGACACACCCGCGACCCAGACACCCCCGCGACCTATCAGCGACCCGCCCGCGACCCGCCCGCGACCCGCCCGCGACCCACCCCGCGAGCAGGCCGCGACACACCAGCGACCCACCCGCGACCCACCCGCGATCCGGCCCGCGACCCGGTCGGCGACCCACCCGCGGCCCAGCCGCGACCCACCGGCGACCCACCCTCGACCCCACCACGTTGTTTCAGCGAAGACGTCGGCGCCTGTGGCCTGCTGCGTGCGTAGCTTGTGCAACGCGAGTGCCTGCAGCGGGCATCTTCGGAGCCTCGCCTCCTGCCGACGTCCCCGCCGCCCCCGCACTCTAAACTCTAAACCGCAGCCGCGGGGTGCTGCGTGTCTCAGGAGGAAAGGAAACACACAGACACAATCAATCCTCGACTCCCCAGAAAATATGGGAAAATATGGGAAGTGGGGGGGAAGTGGGGGGGGAAGACAGAAACCCAGAAAATATAGGAAAATATGGGGGATGTTTTGTTTGTGTGTATTTATTTGTGTGTCCTGGGGCCCCTTCGGTGTCCGCATCCCCGGCCTCGCGGGCCCGGTCCCTGGGCCGCGGCCCCGCGGAGACGGGGCGTCGCTCCGCGGAGGCCCCGCGCGGAGCGTCTCCGTGCCACCGCGTGTCCGCGGGAGCGCGCCACGCGCGCGCGAGGCAGTGCTGGCGCGCACGTTCTCCGAGGATCTTCGGCCGACCCGAGGCGCCTCGGCAGGTCGCTGCGGCGGGGCGGGGCGCTCCGGGGCCGCGCGCGCGGCAGTCGAGGGGCCTCGGTGGGCACACGCGCGCCGCGCGCTGGCGAGCGCGCTCTGAGGATCGCCGTCCGGCCCGAGGCGCCTCGGGAGGGCGGCGAGGCGCGGCGTCGCACCTCGGCGGGCCGCCGGCGCCGTAGCGGAAGGGCTTCGGTGGACAGGCACGCTCGTGGCGAAGCACATGCCCGTATCCGCGGCCTCTCGGGCCTCGCTGGTGCTCTTGAGAGGAGGCAGAGGTAACCACCGATACCGCCGCCCTGCTGTCGTTTTCGCATTCTTACGCCTCCCAGGATGCCCTCGACGCCGTGGCTGGATTCGCCGTCGCGTCTTGGCCAGAGAGTACAGAGGGTGTGGGGTCCGGGGAGCAGCGGTATCGTTGCCGTTTAGTTTCGCCGGATGCGCACACGCTCTGAGAATCTTTCGGCGACTACACAGGGTATGGAAAAACATTGTGTGTTTTCGTATGTGTGTTGTGTTTTCACCCTGTGTCTGCGTGTGTGTGTGTGTGTGTATTTGTGTGTGTGTGTGTTGTGTGTTTGTTGATTGTTTCTTTTTTTAACCTAACAGCGAAGACTGATAGGTTTCTAGTGGTGTCAAAAAAGAGCATCATGACTCCTCAGGGAGGTCGGGGCGGGACCCGGGGCGGCTGCCACCGAAGCCCAAATCGCCTGGGACATCCTCGCAAAATCGCTCTTGGCGCTGCTAGAACTCCATTCCCTGCGTACACTTTGGATGCCTGGAGCCAACTGCTGTAGGCCTTTTCGTGCTCTTCGACTTCCCAGAACTCCATTCCCGGCGTACATTTTGGATGCCCGGAGCCAACTGTAGGCCACTTCGTGGTCTTCGAGTTTCCAGAACTCCATTCCCGGGCCACATTTTGGATGCCCGGAGCCAACTGTAGGCCACTTCGTGCTCTTCGAGTTCCCAGAACTCCATTCCCGGGCCACATTTTGAATGCCCGGAGCCAACTGTAGGCCACTTCGTGCTCTTCAAGTTCCCAGAACTCCATTCCTGGGCATGATTTTGAATGCCCGGAGCCAACTGTAGGCCACTTCGTGTTCTTCTAGTTCCCAGAACTCCATTCCTGGGCCACATTTTGAATGCTGAGGCAGGCTGATGCTGCGGCCGAGGCAGGCTGAGGCTGAGGCAGGCTGAGGCTGAGGCCGAGGCTGAAGGCAGACTGAGGCTGAGGCTGAAGCAGACTGAAGCTGAGGCTGAGGCAGGCTGAGGCTGAGGCTGAAGCAGGCTGATGCTGAGGCAGGCTGAGGCTGAGGCTGAGGCTGATGCAGGCTGAGGCTGAGGCAGGCTGAGGCTGAGGCCGAGGCTGAAGGCAGACTGAGGCTGAGGCTGAAGCAGGCTGAGGCTGAGGCTGAGGCAGGCTGAGGCTGAGGCAGGCTGAGGCTGAGGCAGGCTGAGGCTGAGGCTGAGGCAGGCTGAGGCTGAGGCTGTGATTGCGACTGCCGTTGCCACTGCGACTGTCATCGCGAATGCGATTACGACTGCGAGAACAGCAGAATTCTACAACTGGATTCTCATTTGAATCTTAAGGGGAATGCTTCCAGATATGCTCCTACACATCGCTGTTAGGTTGCTTTGCCGGGATAATATTGTGAATTTGTTACACAAGCGTCGGGGTGTGGTTTGCGATCTGGGTCGTCAGGGTCTGGAATGGCACCGCGCTGCCATCGTCGGGCCTCCTCGGGGCGCGGCGGGGAGCTCCGTCGAGAGGCCCTCGCCCGCCCCATCGGGGGTGACCCTCCACGGGTGCCGGTGGCAAGGCATACCCTCTGCAAACAGCACCCTTCGTAGTTTGACGGGCCTGTTTTCCACCACCGCCACTATCAGTTGGAGGGTGAAAGGAGGTGGAGGATGAGGAGGAGGACGAGGGGGAGGAGGAGGAGGTGGACAAAGAGGAGGAGGACAAAGAGGAGGAGGAGGAGGAGGAGGAGGAGGAGGAGGAGGAGGAGGAGGAGGAGGAGGAGGAGGAGGAGGAGGAGGAGGAGGAGGGAGGAGAGGAGGAGGAGGAGGAGGAGGAGGAGGAGCCCCTCCCCCTCCTACTTTTGGTGGTGGCGGTAAAAAGCATGTCCACCGTAGTTGCCGAACCATCGGCCGACCCGAGGCGACTCGGGAGGGCGGCGAGGCGCGGCGGGGCCGCCCGGGGGGCCGCCCCGAGGCCCGCCGCCTGAAGCGCGTGGCGCGCAGCGGGGCGCCGCCCGCGCCCGCGGGCTGCTGCGCGGCGCTGTGCTGCCGCGCCTGCGACGCGGAGACCCTCGGGCCGCGGGCCCGGGCTGCCTCTCCGATCCGGGGCCTTCCTCGTCCGCCGCCCGTGCCTCCTCGGCCTCCTCCCTCCTCCCCTCGCCGCCGCCTCCCTCCTCCCTCCGCCTCCGCCTCCTGCCGCCCCCCCTGGGACAGCGCCTCCTCCTCCTGCTCTTCCTCCTCCTCCTCCTCCTTCTGCTATTCCCTCCTCGCTCTTGCGTATCGTCTCTTGGCTGCAGGTAGCCCGGTCTCGGGGTTCGTCGTCGTCGTCTTCGTCGCCGCCGCCGCCGCCGCCGCCGCCGCCGTCGTCGCCGTCGTCGTCGTCGTCGTCGTCGTCGTCGTCGTCGTCGTCGTCGTCGTCGTCGTCGTCGTCGTGGTCGTCGTCGTCGTCTTCCTCCTCCTCCTCGTCCTCCTCCTCCTCCTCCTCTCTGGCCCAGGCCTTCGCGCTCGTCGGCGGCCACGGTCTGCCGCATGACTTATCGCAGTTTTCCAGGGATCGTTTTCGGGCCCCAGGCCGCAAGTGACCAAACAACCCCGCCGTTGTGATTTCTTCACGACGCGAGGGGGTACAGTCGAAATCGATGATCAGGATGAGTAACCTTCCCAAGGGTACCCTTGCATCCTTGCCTCTTTGGCCCATCCGTATTCACTTTCGATGGCCAGCCCCACTCGAAGAGCTTCGAAATGGGCGTCCGGGGTCCGAGTCCGAGGGGCTTGCATCCTCATCGTGCGTCCTTCCTACCGGTCCTGACTGTACGGCAAATTCCTTGATCTGGCCGATCCGGACCCGGAACGGGCCCGCAGCAGGGTGCCGGCGCGCGACGGTCGGCTTCCGTGCCGCGATGTGGTGCCGCGGCTGTCGTCCCGATTTTCCGTGCAGGTGCACGGTCGTCCCGGCGGGTGGCCATGTGTTCTGCCAGGCTCCCCGAGGGTTGTGGGCGAAACGCATGCCGTATCCGCGGCCTCGCGGGCCGGGCCCCAGGGCCGCGAGCTCGCCGACACGAGGCGTTTTTTTCGCAGATTCCCCGCGCAAAAGGTAGTATCCGTGCGACCGCGTATCCGCGGGGTCGCGCCCCCTAATCCGAATCGCGAGGGCGCGGATACGGCGATGTTCGCCGCTCGGCCGACGTCTGGGGCGAGAGACTCCCAGGGTACATTTTGGCAGCCTTTTTGTCGCGTTCCTGGAGTGCTCTTGTGGTAATCCTAGGCCCTTCTTGGGGCCCTCTCAGGGGCCTCTTGGGTCTCTCTTGGTAGCCTTGTGGGGACCTCCTGCGGCCATCGTTGAGGCCATCGGTAAAAGCGGGGGGATACTTCAGTGGCGTCCCCCCTTTTGGGCCCGAGAAGTGCCTCTTGGATCGCTCTTGGGACGGTCTTGGGCGCCCTTTGGGCCGTTCGGGTGCCTTTTTGGGCCCCTCTTCGGGCACTCTTGGCTCCTGTTGGAGCCAACTCGAAGCCTGAACAGCCCGTCGGAAGAGAAAACTCGAAACAAGCGAACCAAGCATGAATGCACAATGTGTTGAAGGATTGTGGCTTCTTAGGGGCCTCTTTGGGAGGCTCGGAGGGCACCTGGAGCTCAGCTTTGGCGTGATCCCTACTGTCGCCCCCTTCCTTGCACAACCTGGAGGATGCTCACCGAGCTGGATTACAGAAACACGGGAGCATCATACATAGGACGTATACACGCATGCATATTTTATTTCCTGATTGGCACGGTTCTTAATGGTACACCTTACAAGTTCGATGTTTCTGTTGATCCCAGGGTTGTGGAATGCATTTGCGGCCTGGTCCTCGCAACTAGGGATCATCCAATGCTTGCTTGTGCGTAATCATTGATTTAACAAGTATGCCTGCCACCATCTTAGGTACATACAACTGTTGTTGTGTTGTATGGGTAATTGTTCGTTGACACAAGAAAGCGTAGTTTTATTGCTTATATGTGTTGCTGTGTCGGCTGATCATTGCATGTTAGAATCCAGCGCGCTGCAAGCCATGGGTCAGCCGAACAAGGGTCTATCGGTGGATCAGGCGCTGTCCCCTAAAAGCGCTGGAAACCAAGGGCCCGCCCCCCCAACAGGGATATCGACCGGTTGAGTTTGGGAGGAAGCGCCGCCAGGCATTGGAGGGACTTGCAGCCAGCTGATCAGCTGGATGATGGAAGCGGATGGCTCGATACTCCGGATTCCAAAATAAAGTGGGGGGGTCACCTTTGGGGGGGGGTCTGATTTGAGCTGTCTTGGAGGGTTCGGGGGGGTCTGGGCAAAGGGCCGCCCTTTCATGGACGGTCTGGGGGGGTCTAAGTCTTCTCGTCTGGGAGGGTTGTGACCCCCTCCCTTTCATCACGAAATCTGGGGTATGTTGAAATGAATGCATATAGAACAGAAGCATCGCACCATCATAGCTCACAGCGTCTCATAGCAATCTCGCGTGGGCGCCCCGTTGCCCCACCGCGCTGCCACAGTGGACGTGGCCGCGCGTTCCACACGCGGGTGGTCGGCACGAAGAGCAGCAGCAACTCGCGCGCCATGTTGTGCAATCACGCTGTCGCAGGGAATTGGGCGCGTGCAGCATGGAGCTTATTTGCGCAAGCAAGTGATCATACGGCATGGCCAACCCAGGCATTACAAACATACACATTCCTGCAATGCGTTGTGGCAGGTTCATGCGTTTCTAGCAGTTAGTTCGTAACAGCCCGTACATTCTGCACGCGGGCACTTTTTCATGGCAGCGTGATTGAACAACGCGGTGTTGCGATTTCTCGTTGGTTGTTAACTGGGTGGTGAGGTGCTATACGTTGTACCTCTCCAATACGGCGGCGTGGTCGGGCAAAGCGGTGCCCGTTCATTTTCGGTATGACGTGTTTCTGTAATGCACGCGTTCTTATGTCCATCTGGTTCGACCTGCTCGTGTATTGCGCTTGCGACACGCCAGCGTGACTAGTCGATGACATTCGTAAGTAAGTATGTATGTATGATGTATGTCTGTATGTATATATATATAGTTATACACATGTTTTTAATGTTCAAGTGGATCACGCCATTCCGCTGACTCCCAGAAGAGGAATGAAGTCAACGGGTGAGGCCTTTGGGGCTTTTTGGTGACCCTTTAGGTGCCTCTTTTGGGCCCCTCGGGGCGAGCCGTTTGGACGCTGTTGAGATACGAATGTTTTGACAATGCGAATTTGTTCAGCTTTATACGGTTTCGCGAAGGATTCGGACGATTATTGCTTCTTGGGGCTTTCTCGGGGGTCGTCTTGGAGTTCTCTTGGGGCGTTTTTGAGGCCTCTTGGGTAGTCTTGAGGCTATCTTGGTCCTCTTCGAGGATTCCTGCACCTGTTGGCCCCGTGCTCGAGCAAGCGTTGATCGATTCTTAGGCATCTTGGAGGTCACAGAGTGTAGAAAGGGAGGCTCCAGAAGCCCCAGAGGCCCTCAAGGAGCGTTGATGAGCTCGGCGGCCCCCCGCTCGAATCGTATTTCAGACCCCAGGGAACGGGGGAAAGGGGAAGGGGGACAGCCAATCATCTCACACGCCTTTGCACCCCCGGCAAGCGGGGGTCGGCAAATTAAGGATCGTACGTGCATACATAAATACATCTACACAGGAACAGAGAGACGCGCAATACACAATATATGCAACACACGTGTCGGGCACTTGCAGAGAAGGCGGCGGAGGAAGGCGCGGAGAAGCGATCAGGGCGACGACGGCGAGGAGCGTGGGGCCGCTCTGGGTCTGCGCAGGGTTCGCGCGGTGCTTTCCTGGGGGGTGGGGGTGGCCAGGGCAATTATGGGTCTCCATCGGGCCATCCTGGGCCGGACGGCGGGGGGGCGAGCGGCAAGGGCTGCCGAGCGCGTTCCACTCCTCGCACAGCGCCTGCTCGCAAGAGGCCCAAGAAACAAGCCTCTGCCTCGATGTCATGCATCGAAAAATGCCCCTCGGCGGCTCCAGGCCGTGTGCGAGTACAGTCGGGGCCCTGAAGAAGGAACCCTTTTCGTTGGGGAGGGGCTCGGTGTTCCTTGATCGTTCTGCAGTTTGCCTTCTGTTTTCCTGTGGCTTTCCATGGGAAACCGAAGCTCGACTTATGGGAGAAAGGGGCCCCGCTCCTTATTTAGGGTTCCTTAGGTCAACGCCCCGACTGCAGTTCTGTTGCAAGGAGGGGGAGGAGGGGGGGGAGGAGGAGGAGGAGCAGGAGGAGGAGAAGGAGGAGAGGAGGAGGAGGAGGAGGAGGAGGGAGGAGGAGAAGGAGGAGGATGTGGAGCGCACCTGTCTAAAAGGGGGGAGGGCGGTGCCCGGCGACGCCGCACGCAGCGGGCCGTCGCAGGGCGACCGGCCCGCCGGCGAAGCCGCGGGCGCGGCGCGCTTTCCCCCCGCCGCGGCCGCCGCCGCCGCCGCCGCCGCCGCCGCCGCCGTCGTCGTCGTCGTCGTAGCCGCCGCCGTCGTCGTCGTCGTCGTCGTCGTCGTCGTCGTCGTCGTCGTCGTCGTCGTCGTCGTCGTCGTCGTCGTCGTCGTCGTCGTCGTCGCCTTCTCTCTCTTCGAGGATCGGGAAGGGGCGGGGAAGGGGAGGAGAGAATTTGACCTGGAGCCGCGCATGTCTCCTCCGGTGCCTGGGGGTCCTGGGGGTGCCGGGGGCCTCGGGGGACCGGTCCATCGGCCGTTTTTGGGTGGCCTCAGGGGCTACTGGGAATTCGGGGGGGGGCCCGTCCGAGGGCAACGCCTGGTGGCGGCCGAGCAATCACCCTGCAATGGTCGGTGCCACGGGGGATGTGGTGAAAGGGGAGGGGGACCCCCTCCCCGAAGGGGAAGAAGGGGAAGGGTTAGGAGAGCGGGGCCTGGAGGAGGAAGGGGAGAGGAGGGGAGAACGAGACCCGGATGTCCTCCTCCAGGCCCCGCGCTCCCCGAAGGGGCAGGGTCAGCAGAACGAGC